CAAAGGAGAATCGCTATAAGCTGATAATCTCAAAATGAATGTCCAGGCTGTCCTTAGAGTGACCATCAAGCGAGGCAGCGATGGTCAAAGCAACTGAAAAAGCTGCTAGCTGAAGAAACGAACTAACAAATCCTGCTAATTTAGCTGCTCCAAAAATTTTTTTTCCATACCCTAAGCTGACCATTTTGACTTGTTTGAGCTGCAGAAAGAAAGCACGCCTAAAGCAGTGACCAAGGACCGACAAATCACGCAAGTTTTGAGTTCAACTTACGAAAAATCCGGGAAACGGCGCTCATCGGAGTAGCCCATGTGCATGCCACAATCGAGCATAACATTTTTGCCACCAATGGATACCAAAATACAACTGCGACCAACATCCTGCCCGGCGCCCAGTGGCACAACCTGCAAAAACCCAGCAATTAAGCACGCAGAAAAAAAATCACAGAATAAAAAAAAAAGAATTTCTAGCCGGGCGAAAACCATCGTCGATTTCGTAAGTTTCAGCCGAAATGGTCAAAATGGGGCGATCTGAGATTTCAGCCAAGAACCAATTCGGGTACCTCCGCCCACAGTGCCGGCGTCCTTCCGTCAAATCCTTGCGCGCCTCGGTGGTAAACAGTTCGATATGTCAGAAAACACGCATTCATCGAGCTAGGTATATAACCCACATAAGTTTGCGTGAAACTGTACCACTTTACTAATTTACAACGCTTCTGAGGGACTGGCTTCCCTCATGAAAAATGTGTCAGAGCAAATATTTCAGAGAGTTATGCAAATTTCATGAAAAATCACAGCGAATTATACAAATTTCAAAAGTCAAAACTCCCTCGGTATTTCGCTCACAGTGAGAGACGGGGGCACTCGAGAAGTAGCCCGAACAATAGCAAATGCCAACAGCAACCTTGCGCAAGCAAAACTATCAATAGCCCCGCCCCTTTCCAAGCGCCGCCTACAAGTAAACTGATGGCGGATTTGACTCTCTGGCAATTGCCAGTGTCACTGAAATTAATCGTAGAGGGATTGGCTGTCCTATCGGCGGAGTGAGTCGAACCTCTGACCTACTGCATGACAACAATGCTGGTTCACAGAGCCAAACCTGCCGACCCTTCTATTACAAAACTGTTACGGAAGCAGTCAAGAAAATTAATTGATTGGCCAACGCACCGACTGCCAGTGCGAAGATGCGTTTTTTGCATAGTTCCTCGCAGTTGGCCGCTACCGGTACCGGCTTTTTCAGCAAATGCTTCTAGCTAGACAGATTGGCCAGAACTGTCAGGGAATACTCCCTCAAAATTCCAGTCTTCTAGCTTCTCAGCTTTCCTGACTAGCAAATTACCCGAAAAAAATTTTCACAGGCTCCTACGTGGGTACCACGCATATTCGGAGACTGGGTTTGAGCTCACTAACACATACTTGGATGGGGAACATCCCCTTAAAATTTCAGCTTTCCAGCTTCTCCGATTTCCGATTTAGCAGCTTGCACGT